AATCAATAACGGAATCGTTTTACTAAGAAACGTATAAGCGTATATGTAATCCAATTATGGATAAGCTTATTTTGGACAAAAAATGTAGTATTTGAAGACAAGCTTGAAAATAAGTTACTAATTTCTAAATGATACTTTCTTCAAAGTACCCCTTAGCTCCTTTTAAAAAAATATTTATACAACAAATATTTCAAAATATATTTATTACCAATTAGAATTTAAATATAAAACATTTTTTATTTTCTTATAGACTATAAAAATAAAATCAGAATAAAAGTGTACAATTTAAAAAAAAAAGCATTTCTCTGACCGTTATTTAAATTTTTTCCATTAATTTTATCAAACAAAAAACATAACCTTTAAAGCTCTTGTTTGAAAATCAGTTATATATCATTGTACCCGTTGCCCAATTTAGTTAAATTTAAAGGCGAATGATCAGCGCGTTGGCCAAAGTTCAAAACGCTGGCCTCCGGGTTGTCGAACTTTGCGATGCCATCCTTGGACTCCTCCAATATTACTGTTCCATTGCCAAACAAACGCTGACTAAGCAAAACTTTTGTTTGGCAAGCGAAGCGCGTCCTATGCAAAATTGTAACCGGAAACACTGTTCGCTGCCGCGGATGCCACGGACTGGGCCAAAGCGAAATGAATTCGGTCCGATTGGAAGCAGTCTGCGTAATTTGGCCCTTTGATTGAACCGGGCGTATGCGCAATATGAGAACATAACAAATATGAAATGCGCGTGACCGCCGCGTCTTGTTTGCCCCATTTGCCCCACTCACCCCACCAGCGAGTGGGTCCAATTAATTTGCATCCTTTGGCGGACGACAAAAGGCTTTCACGTGCAACTGGGCGTGGTCACACATTCACCTGCTAATGAGTGGGCGTGGCAAGGTCAAATGTGCAAGCACTTAGTCTAATGATAAGCAAAGAATGCCAACGGGCAAAAGCATACCGAAATTCCGCCAACAGCCATTAAGTGGGAAAGAAGAAACCACTGCCACTGGTGAAGGGGAAGGGGAGAAGAACTGGGGCTCTGGTTAGGGAAAACTACACAAATCGTTCAACACTTGGCGGCACTTAAATGGGGAAACCACATGATAAAATTAGACGATTAGCAGTGACCGCAAGTTCACACACATACAGATACTTGTACTTGGTAGACATGAGCGTAGACAAAAGGGGTAAAACTTTTTAATTAAAAAAAAAATTAAATTAAAAGAAATCGTAAAGTATAATACAAATTATTCATAACTTAAAGGTATCATTATTATAGATATTTTGAAGTAATGTAATTTCAGGAAGTCCTGGAATTATAAACGTTTGTATAAATAAAATAAATAAAAATCATAAAAATTCTATAATATTTTAGCATTTTTTAAGCTCTAAGTTATATATTGTTAAGAAATAAAAATGTATTGGATTTAGATTGACTGCAGTATACAGATATCAACCATTAATAATCACAAAATAAAATGATTAAAGTTTAAGCACGCTACAAATTTATTTTATATACTTTTTCTGCCCCTTAGTGATTTTTCTTTGCTTTTAGTTTCTTGGAAATTTATACGCTTGACTTGCTTGTTGACCGGGCAAACATTTCGGACCCCTCTGGGTGGCGCCCCTGATAGAAGCACACATCGAGTCCATCCACAGACCCCGACTAGACTGAGTAAACAAACGGAAAACGCAGCTGGCAGTTCATGCAAGCTCCATGCTGCCAACAACTAACACTCGATTTTGGAGCTCACAACCCCAACCCTAAACCCCAACCCCTTTCACCCCCATGACCTCTTGGTGGTCAACAGAATAGAACGCAAAAAACAAAACCATATAGCGAAAGAAACACACACCAATTTCGACGCAGTTCTGGTGAATATTTCCGCTGTGAAAAATCGTTTGAAATTAGTTGAACGAAACATAACGAACAGCGATAAAGCAATAAATACTTGACACAATGCCTTCGAGTCTATTGTAAACAAAGAATAGATATGAATAAATTGCCATGGGGATTATCATACCGCAAACTGTGGGAAAATATATTAAATTATATCAACAAATTAATCTTTAAAGTCAATCAAAGAACATTTATAGTTTTATTAACTTAATTGCAATCCAACAAAATTGAATTATTTTCAACACAAGTTTTTAAAAACAAAAAAACCAATGTATGAATTTGAACAATACGTGCTTATAGACTAAAATATTCAATTACAGAAAATATAAACAACCTCAAATTATCTGGAAATATTTTACCAATTTTATGGAAAGTGAAAAATAGATGTGGTCTTTTGGTTTGCTGACATTGCTCCTTTGGAATCTATTATGTGGACATTGCGAAATTCTGGTTATGTTCTGCATTTTATTGCTTTGATATTCTACATAATTTACTGAATTTTACTGGTTTAGATTTAAAACCAGTAAATCCAACAAATCGGGTTAACCACATTACTGCGTGCTTATGCAGCGATAAAAACTTTGTGGTCTATGCCCTTTTAACTTTTAAATTGAGTTTCTGGGGCAATTTGTGAATGGAAATTAAATTGTTTATCCAATGGCTTTTGTGTTTACCTTTTTTCCCCAAATTAGTTCCCAAAGGGTAATAAAAACTAGACGTTTGATGCTAAGCAGAGAAAATCTAATAAATTACAGTACAAACAACATGACAAGTTCAAGACTTGTGCGACCTTGCCTATCACAAATTGAACACTCTGCGCAGATGGGTCTCCTTGAAGGGTCTCCCGTTCTTCTCGAAGCCTTCGGCTTCTTGATAAATTTGAAAACTGTCAGTTTCGCCTGATAAGACCAGAACAATTCCAGCAACTCACTCCGGCTCACACTTTTCGGGAAGTTTATCACAGGCCACGCGCCAGTTGCCCTCGAGCACAAGTGGAAAAAAATAAGATTAAATTACATTTTGCACACAGTTGTGATTTTCATTAATTTAGTGGCACATAAACACACACTCGGAGGGCAGTCGAGGCCAAAAAATCATATAGAAAACAGAAACTTTTCGAAAAATTCCAAATCAAATAACTTTTGCAACTTTTCCTTCCGGTGGAGGGGACAGCCACAAACAAAAAACACAAAAAGTTTGCCAAAAAAGTTGCAGCTGCCTCTTAATTATGCCGCACGGTAAAAGCGAGCATATTGTTTATTTTTGGAAGTATGTAACATTTAAGTTTAATTATCTTAAGTAATTGCTTTAACTTTTATGGTATATATTGAAAAGTAAACAAATTGATTTTGAATTAAGGTGAATTTTACTTAAACAAAAACCGACGATTAAAAAAGTTATTTTAAACTAAAATAAAATTGATATAAAATAAGTAAGAAAAAAAATGTTTAATAGAGGGCATTCTTTATCCTCTACAACTTTTATCTGCCAAGAGTTTTTTTTGCATTCACTTTTTTAGTTGTTCGCACGCTATATTCATGTTTTTCATTTTGGTATTACCAATACGCAACGTTGACTAGAACAAAAGGCATATTTTGTCTTCAGCCTTGGCTGACTTCATCGAACAAAAAAGCGTTGACTAAAAAGCGTCCTCTAATAATCGTATAAACCTTCAAAGTGTTATAAAAACAGCCAGAAAGACGTAGTTACTAAAAACTCATTTGACACCATATTTTTAGCGTTTCAAAAGACAATGTAAAGTAAGTAAAATTGCATAGAAAAATCATCGATAGCAGTTATAAGACATTTGAAAGTTAAAAGATGCAACTTTTGCTACAGGAACAAATGAAAACTTGCCCCTTTTTCTTTTCTTGTTTGCTAGCAGCAGATTTTAATGTCAAATTATGGCAACTTAGTCCGTGCAATTGCAACTGAGATTAAGACTTGCGCAACTTTTTAACTGCATTTTTTATTGCACTTACTTAAAAAAACAAAAGCATTTTATGTGAAATCGATGGAATAGTGCTACAGAGTAAGTAGAGGTCAAGTGCCTTGATTTAAACTTCTACATTTACAGCAGACACTTTACAGGTGTTAATTGCCTAACAACAATTATGTGTAATTATACATTAACAGTTATTTCATCGGTTAATACAACAATTAACGTTATTTATTAATCAACCCGAACCATTTATAAAAACACAAACCTCCCGCAGTGTTCTTCTTTCGATAATTCTAAGAAGTTATCTTATTAAAGAATATTAATAAAAATAACCTTCTTTTATGGTACTTCAATCTTCTCTGGAAAGGAGCTAATACAATTTCCATTTACATTTTTTGGCAAAAGCAAAATAAAATAAAAAATCAAATCAAACGAAAAAATTTTAAAAATATTTTTCTTTAACATATTGGTTTTTACAATTAACTATTTTATATAATTTAAAAATTTACTCACTTAACTTACAAAATACAGAGGACCAGTAAGCAAAGATATAATATAACAATGTGCAAAAAAAAATTTTAAAAACACCCTAGTTTTTGCATTACTTTGGATATACTTAGTAAGTTACGTGGAAAAGTTCTGCGGTCACCTTTGCAACAGCTATATGTAACCGTTAGGGCTTAAGGGCAATAAAGTTTTTTAGTGGCTGGTAGTTCTCAACTGTTCTTCTGCCAAAGCAGCAGGTTTTTTAAAAAAGTTTTAGCAAACGCTTTATAACATAAGATGCATAATAAAAAAGATAATCATTGATAAACAAGGGATCAAGACAATTTAAAATGAATTTATAATTTTAAATATTTAAACATATGTTTATATATCTAATTTGATTCCAAATCATATTTTACATATATATCGACTATAAAAACTTTTAAAAAATACGATAAAGCTGTGAAAAACTGGAACTATATACATCGAATGGTCTATACAATATTTTAATAACGGTAACCCTTTGCAAAGAAAACGCATAAATAATTCAATCAAGTGTGATAATTGGTAGCAGCAATTAAATACTCTAAGAGGCAACAATTACGCATGTCTGTGTTAGCCACAAAACTATTTAAAAGCAGCAGCTACCATAATTCTTGTCTAACTGTTCACAATATGGAGTCAAAGCTTCCGGTTGTAAGAAGTGAAAGTCTTTATAAAATTTATTGGCTCTATTTACGAATTTTGGCTGTCGAGGGAAATTATCCGTATCGATGGATTCTGGATTTCATAGTTTTCTTTTTCATTACATTTTGGTACCCCGTACATCTAATAATTGGACTGTATAATGAACCGGTGGTAAAGGTTTTCAGGAGTCTGTACTTCACAATAGAGGTATTTTTCTGCAGCTTTAAGTTTGTGTTTTTTCGTTGGAACATGGCAGAGATAAAAGTCACCCAAAATTTGCTCCTGGAATTGGATAAAAGAGCCGAAAGTGACGAGGAGCGCAGTTATTTTGAAGAAAACTCAAAGCCAGTGGCCAACTTGATTACCAAGGGTTATTTGGTAGCTGGTTTACTATCCATAGTAACTGCAGCTGCCGCTGGTTTTGTTACAACTGGTCGAAATCTAATGTACTTGGGTTGGTTTCCCTATGATGTCAAGGCCACTGCGCTATACTTTTGGATTAGCTTTACATATCAATTTGTTGGGTCCACCCTGTCGATTGTGCAAAACCTCTCCAACGATATTTATCCCCCGATTACATTTTGTGTGGTTACTGGCCATGTGAGACTATTGGCAATGCGTTTAAGTCGAATTGGCAAGGATGGGAAGAAATCAAGTGCTGATAATACCAGGGAACTCATCAAAGGCATCGAAGATCACAGAAAACTAATGCAGTAAGAAAGCACTGAAGTCTATACGTTGTTATCATATTTGATACTCAAGATAAAGGTTTTAAAAGTTCATAAAAAGTTTGTGCGAGTGCAATTTTGGTTTTAATTTGATGTTGGTAGAAAATACATTCTAATTTTAAATGAACACTATTACGTCAAACCTAAATACGTATAAAGTAATTTTATTTATTTTGATTAAAAACATTAAAATTGCTCGAGGAAAAAATAAATAAAATTATAATACTGTTTTGCATGAATATTAACTTCTCGTTTTGATATAAATATGTTTTCATTCAACAAATACAAGATTTATGAATTAAGTAATAATCTATATATTTGATTTCCGCATTTAACCACTATATATTCTTAATTTTCTTTCAGGATAATTCGCCTACTCAGGAAAACTTTGTACTTCACCCAACTGGGCCAATTTCTTTCCACCGGAATCAACATTTCTATATCGCTTGTCAACATTCTCTTTCTGGCGGAAAACAACTACTCCATGATTTACTATTCTGTGTTCTTCGCGGCCATGTTTATAGAACTATTTCCAAGTTGTTACTATGGAACTCTGATGTCGATGGAGTTCGATAAACTGCCTTACGCCATTTTCTCGAGCAATTGGAGTGGAATGGATAGGAAATACTGTCGCTCCTTGATAATTCTGATGGGGTTCATGCTTATCCCAGTGGACATTAAAGCGGCCGGAATTGTTGGCATCGACATGAGGGCATTTTTTTCCACAGTCCGCATGGCCTACTCCTTTTTCACCTTGGCCATGTCCTTTCGATTCTAGAAGTACAGAAGCAATCAGTTAAATATTAGTTAAATTTCAAACAAAAAGTTTAGCTAATCAAAATCGCGTAAACGCAATATTATCCAGTTGCTTATTATACATTAAAGACATTATAAATGCGTCGGTAGGTTAAAATCAAAACATAATAAGAACCTGTAAAGGTAAAAAACATAAATGCTGTGTTAAGAATTAAAATTACCAAGACACTTACAAATTGTAATATTCATTAATATTGTTTAGCACGATACATATCTGTTTGTATTATACAAATCACTTATATACAGCTATTTCACTTATTTTCAATCCAAACCTTAATCAATAAAATGTTTTAACTCAAACCAAAAATATTTATTTATATATCCGTACTGTTTCACCTATTAGGGGAAGTATATAAATCATCACACTTATAATTCAGCACTGACTAGCCAGACGTTTTACAATAAATTACTCAAGGATAGGTGTGAATTGGTTAATGTAAATTATAGGGTTATCACGGCGACACCAAATTGATGGGCGTAACAATGTAAGAACAAAATGTGTCAAAATCCGAGTATAAAAGAAGAAATGCCGCAGGACATTGTAAATTGTTTCGGACATGGAGCCAAAATCGCCAGTCATCAGAAGTGAACATATCTACAGAGCTTATTGGTTGTATTGGCGTCTTTTGGGTTTGGAGAGCCACCATATTCTAAATCGGTTACTGGATATTGTGATCACAGTTTTCGTTACCTTTTGGTATCCAGTTCATCTTATTCTCGGATTATTTACGTTAAGAACCCTCGGAGATGTCTGCAAAAGTCTACCAATAACAGCTGCCTGCTTTTTCGCTAGCTTTAAATTTATTTGTTTCCGTATTAAGTTATCGGAGATAAAAACAATAGAGGTCCTTTTTAAGGAGCTAGATCAACGAGCTGTTAGTCGCGAGGAGTTTGAGTACTTTGACAGAAATACGCGCCGTGAGGCGAATTTCATTTGGAAAAGCTTCATTGTGGCCTATGGATTGTCGAATTTATCGGCAATGTCAACTGTTCTCTTCGGCGGTGGACATGATTTATTATATCCTGCCTGGTTTCCCTACGATGTTCAAGCCTCGGAACTAAGATATTGGTTAAGTGTGTTATACCAAATTGTGGGAGTAACTCTGGCCATACTTCAGAATCTGGCCAATGATTCCTATCCACCGATGACTTTTTGCGTGGTTGCTGGCCATGTGAGATTATTGGCAATGCGGCTGAGGAGAATAGGTCATGGTAAAAAGGAGGATCAGTCCTTAATCGCCAAGCAATTAATCGAAAGCATTGAGGATCATAGGAAATTAATGAAGTACGTAACTACCAAATCAAAATAGAATTAATTATGAATAAATACCATTTCAGAATCGTGGAGCTGCTTCGAAGTACCATGAATATTTCCCAACTCGGCCAATTCATCTCCAGTGGAGTGAACATTTCCATAACTTTAGTCAACATATTATTCTTTGCGGAGAACAATTTTGCCGTAACTTACTACGGAGTATACTTCATATCCATGGTGCTGGAGTTATTTCCTTGCTGCTACTACGGCACCTTGATTTCCATCGAGATGAGCCGCCTGACATATGCTGTATACTCGAGCAACTGGATCGGAATGGATCGGGGATACTGCCGCACCCTGCTGATCTTCATGCAGCTCACTTTGAAGGAGGTGCAAATTCAGGCAGGTGGAATGATTGGCATCGGCATGAACGCCTTCTTCGCCACCGTGCGATTGGCCTACTCCTTCTTCACGTTGGCCATGTCGCTGCGATAATGAGTGCTCCACTCATTTGCATATTCGCCTCAATTTAATTACCACTAATGGCGGCCATTAACGGAGGCTTTATGAAAATTGCATTGGCATCGTTTAAATGCCGCTTAGCGGCAGATTATGCACGCGAAAAATTCGCACTTAAATAAAGTATAATAAAAAACAAATTAAGCAAACCTCTTCGCCTCTTGCTCAGTTTAAATAAATGTGGCAATTTATACAGGAGCTACCAACAAAGTGGAGAATTATTGTTTAATTTCTTTTATTCACATAATTGCACTGTAAACAAATCAATCATTTGCTCACTTGCGTAAACAGTTCTTAATTAAATCGATTCATTATAACTATTTTATCCTGTAATGAATTGTAAAGCCCTCTTCCCAGTTATGCTAAATACACTCAAAACTGCACCCATTTTAAAACCTTCTCTCAGTGCATGTGTCAATGCAGCTGCATAAAAGCCGTCACCTCACCGGCGAATTTCCATTCAAAGAACAATGGTCACCGTCGATAGTGTGAGTTTTTACCGGCCGTTCTGGCTCTGCATGCGAGTGCTTGTGCCGACGTTCTTTAAGGACTCTCCTCGTCCTGTCCAGCTGTATGTGATGGTGCTCCATGGTCTGGTCACCCTCTGTTTCCCCCTCCACCTGGTGCTGCATCTCGTTGTGCATCATCCTTCGCCGGCGGACCTCCTGAAGAACCTGACCATGTCCTTAACCTGCGTGGCCTGCAGCCTGAAGCATGTCGCCCATTTGTACCACTTGCCGGAGATTGTGGAGATCGAATCGCTAATTGGCCAGCTGGACAAGTTTATCTCAAGTGAGGAGGAGCATCGCTACTACCAGGATTACGTGCACTGCAATGCCAAACGCTTCACGCGGTGTCTCTACATAAGTTTTGGCCTGGTTTACTTGTCCGGTTTACTTGATTTTCCTGTTCGGTGTCATTGTTCAGATCTTAACTGGTACCTGGGGCATTCTATACCCCGCGTACTTTCCCTTCAACATTGAGGACAATCGCGGGATGGCTGCTGTGGCCCTGGCCTACCAGGTAGTCTGCATCCTGGTGGAAGGCATTCAAGGCCTGGGCAACGACACTTACACTCCTTTGACTCTGTGCCTTCTGGCTGGACATCTGCAATTGTGGGCCATTCGCATGGCTCAACTGGGATTCTCTGAGGAGAAAAATGACAGCAATCATCATCTGTTAAGGGACTACATTGAGCAGCACAAACTCCTGATGAGGTAAATTTGACCTATTCTTAATTTTTAAAAAATATAAATAACAATAATAAATTTTTTCACTTATTTAAAACTACAATTTAAACAATTTAAAACCTATTTGAAACTACAAATGTAAACTACTCATCAAATTAATCGATACAAAGTCTACAACATATCGATTTCCAATTAAGCCTAACCATCTTAAATAGTTAAAAAATTTTATGCTTTTTCACAAAGAATCGCAATTAAGAGGATGTGTTTTTATTTTATTTCATAGAATTTCTCTAATAATTAATTTTGCTACCATTAACATTTTGTGTTTAAAAACGCTATTCAAAACTGTGCTAAGAACTGGAAATATAAATACCTAATTATCCCTCCTAAATCCGCATTGGTTTTTGATCCTACAGATTCCACCAACTTATATGCCAGACCATCAGCGAGGTGCAATTGGTGCAACTGGGGGGCTGTGGCGCCACCCTGTGCATCATTGTGTCCTACGTCCTGTTCTTCGTGGGCGACGCCATCGCGCTGGTCTACTACATGGTTTTCTTCGGAGTCGTTTGCGTCCAGCTCTTTCCCAGCTGCTACTTCGCCAGCGAAGTTACCCACGAGGTGCAGAATCTCCCATATTCCATCTTCTCCAGCAGATGGTACGATCAATCGAAGGAACACCGCTTCGACCTGCTCGTCTTCACCGAAATGACCTTGAGGAGCAGGGGGCGGGTCATCAAGGCGGGCGGTCTCATCGAGCTGAATCTAAACGCCTTCTACGCCACCCTGAAAATGGCCTACTCTCTGTTCGCCGTTGTGGTGCGGGTAAAGGGAATATAAAAACGGATGGTTAATTAAATAGCCACCCCGGCCACCGTATTGTTATTGATTTCGACCCCCCTGAAATCGGCCAAAAGTGGAGCAATCAACGCAGAATGAAATTTCATTAATTGGCCCCGTCGCGATACGCAAATAAACAGTTTGCCACACGGATATTCTGCTCTTTTGGTCGAACAATGGCACATTAAAGTGAAACGATTTGTTTACGAATACACACAGTTTTTATTCTGATTTCTGCTTGCGTAATTTGTTATTGTAAACCTTGTATAAATCTCAATGAAATCTGGCTGCTCTGTGTTGTTGTAATTATAATAAAAAATGTATGCCAATCAGCGAGAAATATAAAAAAAATGCATGTAAATGCTATTTATCGCAGTATGGAATTCATCCTTGAAGTCGCTTTATTGCCATTTTAAATTCATTGCTTCTCTGCACAGCACAGTTTTCCCAATTCGTCAATATTAATTTTTTTCCATTTATTGACTTATGACAAGAGACCCTGGCTTTTTCTTTTTAGGGTCGACTTGCGCCCCAAAGTGCCTACGTGATCCAAACACATTTTTCCACGCCTTTTCATCTGGAGAAATTTAATCAAACTTAAAAGCCTCTGCAAATCGATGTTCAATTTTTAAGCATCTCCGGCTCAGACGCACATTTTATGACTGATTTTTAATTAAAACTCTTACCAAGCGGGCATAATTGAATTCGGATATGGTTCCGCTGCATTGCATTCGATGTTTTTTGGTGGAAGCTTGTGAAACCAACAGGGATACCCTTGATTTAAAAATATTTGTTAAAAAATTGATATAAAAAAACTAAAAAAATTTAATTAAATTTATAAAATAGATAACGCGCAAATTATAAATGAAATATAATATATTTGTCATAACTCAGAGCATTAAAAATGAAAAAAAAATTAATATTGAATAGATACCCAAAATTATTCGAATAAATGTCCTCTTATGTTGTTCCGTCTTACAATTTAAATGGTCGTTAAAAACCACAGAAAATGCTTGCTTAACGAAGCAACCGTGAATGTGATTAAATGAATCGACATGGAAATCGTGAAGATGGGACATGATAGCATCTCGAAACGCGAAACTCATTCGCAAGGCGGATATGCTGAGGTGGAAACAAGAAATATATTAAAAAATATTTCACTGGACTGTAGGCTTTTTGTCTGAAATGCAAATGAGGAAAAGCCGTTGGGATTTCATGCCGGAAAACTGCACCGGACAACGGACTGCATAAGTAACCAGGAAGGTGCCACATGACAAATGCATTGAACACTTGCTCAAGGACTTGAGGTGTGGGGTGGTGTGTGGCGGTGTAAGGTTGAGTGGGGTGAAGTAGGGTGTTGCCAAGGACACGCAAGGATTCGCACCGCGCCGGTGGCAATTTATTGATGCCAACGCAACGATGAGCGCGTACAAATTGCTTGGAGTGATGGCGGATACACTGGAGTACAATTTCTATATATTAGTTAAATAAAATTCATTTAGAAAATAATTAATTAAATATGCATTATTTGACAAAATAATTATTAAAAAATATATTTTAAAAATTTTTAATTACATTTTGAAGCCTTAAAATAACAAAATTGTTCAATATATTATTTTTAATATTTTTTCCAAAATATGTAATACTTGGAATTATTAAATATTAGTTTTCATTTGGCAATTATGTATTTACTTAAAATGTGTTATATCGATAAAAGTTTTTAAAAAATCAACATAAATGTTTTTAACATTTGTTTTTTAGTTTTTTGTTCACTTTTAGAAGGCTTTTAAACCGGAAACCGCTTTAAACCGCTTCACTTTTGTGACATTTTTCTCACTGTATTTTGAGGAGTTCGACAAGGGGTTGTGTCAGTTCAATTTGTCGCCTCCAGATGGCGCTGTCCTATCTGTCGAGCGCGCAGTGCCCAAGCAGCCATTAAAATGTCCCCCCAGCAACACTTTGCGTCATTATTGAAAGCAATTTCCCACGGCAAATAGAAAATCGAAAAACAAAACAAAATCGAAAATAAATGCGGGAAATAAAATAAAAAAGAATCACGCAGAAACCGGTGGAAAATGCGACAAATGTAGAGGCTCAGAACGCAGCTTAGAGGCCGATGCGCGAATATTGCGCATACGCCACCCCAGGGAGCAGCTCTCAAAATGCCTAGGCATACAAAACCTACATCCCACTACCCAGAACCCACTGCCCTGAACCCACACTACCCACTAGACACAGATCTAGAGTCGGGAGCCACAGAAGGCCCAATTGCTGGAGGTGATTTAACTTTTTCTGCCTGCCATTCATTTCCTTTTCAATAGCACAAAAGCACACAGACACCAAACCGAGCGAAGCCGAGCGAAGAGATGGCAGAAATATTGTTGGCATACTTTTTCAAGTGTTTCCTGCCTTCCTGCATGTTGTCCTGGCTCCTTTCTCCTGGCTGTTTATTTTAACTTTTGGCATTTTGTGCGCGAACCGGGGGAATTTCGCCCGTCTGAAATAGGAAAGTAAAACAAAAAGCGGTTAAACAAAATATGAAAAATAAATTGAAACACTCAACCGGGCCCCTCTGTCTGTCTATCTATCTATCTTTCTATCCAGAAAACCCCCGAAGAGACTTCCACTCAATCAGAGCTTTGGCATCGGTGACATCGGGTTAAAAATGCCATGCACCTCCTGTAAATAAAACCAGATTTGCGATCTGGCCAACGTCCTGCCGCAGATTGAATTGCTTCCTCTGACCGAAAAACCGAAAAACTGAAACTGAAAACACACAATTTGATTGCCAAGCCCTGCGGTATTCAGAATGAAAATGCCAAACTAAAGCAATCACAACTTGCGTTGCATTTTGCCTTTGTTTTTCTTTCTATATTTCTTGCAAAAATCAACAAAATGTGTTTCAGCTCGATGATAATATATGCAATGGTGCATTTTTAATGGGGTGAAATGCATTTGCACAAGTTTTAAGGTTGTACAAATTGCTAGAAACTACTTGTGTGAAAACAACTTGCAGAATAATAAGGGGAAATATTCTTTTTTACTGCATTTGTTGCTCTACGTTGTCAGAAAATTATCTTTACTTGTTATCATTTTATATATAGAAGAAGGGTAAAATAAAACACAATTTTTATTGTCGTTCAAACTTAGCTAAGGAAAAACAACTAAAATTAGTATATTAAAATGTAGCCTTAAATTTTACCGATAATTAATCCTTGTTTCTTTGCTCAAGTGTTATAATCATTATAAACTCATTTATTTTGTGAACTTTCATGTTTTAATCAAACAAATAGAAGCTCTACTGGGGAACACAAGAAACCTAATTAAATTCGCAGAAGCAATAGCCATTGATTATTTAATGAACGCTAATACAGTAAATGTGTCGACTCTAATTGCCTTTTGGCAGTTGCAAATTGTGAGAAATTGTTGGGCGCACTTTTCTGTACCAATTGAAAAAGTGAAAAATGATTAATTACCCGCCGGCAAATTGGCCAGACTTTGGCCAAGGGAAAGGGATTTTCCGCGTACAGCTGCAATGCATTCGTGTCGGAATTGGCGAAACTATTTTACCATTCCACACGGCCAACTCAATTACAACGTGGCCGACTGTCGGCTGCTGGCCATTCAATTTTCCCTGCCCAGTGAGAAAAACAAGCGGAAAAAGCGCATCAAAGACAAACAAAGCTGCTAAGGGGGTTAGAGGGCTGGAAGCGGCATGTTGGATGTTGGAAAAAGTGTCCAACATGTTAGCGTGTCGGGCGGGCAACCAAACTGGCGGCGCCTAAAACTATGCTCCACGGCATGAATAACTGAGCGGATCGGCCCTTCAGCTTTTTTGCGCGGCTTCTGCACTGACAAAAAAAGTATGTTTTTATCGTAGTTAACATAGAAACAAAGTCAAATTTGGTTTATTGAAAATGTGAAATACGCACTTAATAAAGGAAATACTTGAGTCTAAAAAGGTTATTTTTAAATAAAAATTTTATAAGTATTAATCCCTTTTTACCTATCAAATAATCTTATGTTTTAAATAACGAATAAGGCTTTATTCTCATATATATTTATTAATTAAAGATAAATTATATAGAATGATGTTGACAAAGTGTTATAGAATTATTATTAATAGATAATATGATTGAAATACAGGGAAGACTAGTAGGCAGTATAAATTTCGTTATTAAATTAAATATAATTCTTTCTTAATGAGTGCGACATATAATATTTCTTTTTTTTTTAACCCTTATGTTAGTAACCGGGTACCCGGGTACCCCCCGCGGTATATCTGTGTGAAAAGCTTAAAGCAAGTTCAATATTTCATGTTAAGCTCTTAAATCGTCGTTTTTTAACTTAAAAGGAAGCTAGTTGCGAGTTCATTTAATTTATATATATTTTTTTTATTATATTTTTTTATGCTTAAACTTCAGCCATCGCCTCATTAGTAACCGGGTACCCGGGTACCCACAGTGGAAAGCATAGGAAATAAAGTGAATAAAATTTTTATAAATGCATGCAATATAATTAATTACATTGAACACACTGGACACGATTTACTGAATGTTCGTCACATACAGGTTGGCGACAATTGGCACAAGACTTGCGTGTCTTTCGCCGTCTTCTTATTGGCAAAGCATTGCAGACATAGCAAGATCCTATAACCATTTTTCTTCCGGTTTTATCTTTTGGAATCTCTGGACCAGGATTTACCACGACTGTTTCTGTCAATGCATGGCCTAAAATACTTTGAATGGCAATCTTTGTTGAAAAGTGACGCATTATTTGTGGATTCGCGGTACGATTTTCAATCATCGGCAATGCTAGTTCCTCACTTAGCTTACGCATAAATTGACGACGTTCTGTCGTTTTTTTTTTATCATTTTATTATTTTTTTAGAATAAATTATATATGTCGCAAGTGAAAAAATGTCTAACATATTAAAAAACATTGCCATTGGCCATCTCGAGGATCGTCGTTGACTGGTGTATCTCCGCACCATTCGGTCCATTGTGTCGACTCCAGTTTTATATTCATTATAGAAATTTATTATTTCTGGTTTCTTTTTAGCGTCATCACTATTTTTTTTCCTTATATTGTCACTTACTATTAATATTTTAAGAAAAAAAATATTTTGGAAAAATTTTTTTAATAAAATAAACAAAATTTTTGATATTCAGAATTATGGGTACCCGGGTACCCGGTTGCTAAAAGACGTCGGTAAAGTTGGTTACTAACATAAGGGTTAAATATAAGAAGAGAGATTTGGATAATCTCTGTGTACCGCCCTTCTGCTCTAACTCTTGTATTTTAGTCATGCATGACAATTTTTTCCAGCCAGTTGCCGTTTTTGCTTTTGGGTTTCCTTTGGCTCTTCTCCTGTTATTGTTGCTGTTCGCTTTGTTTTGCCCTCGTTGGAGATTTTTTTGTTTTCCTACGCACTGACACAGATGTTCTGCCCGATGTTGTTGGCGCTTTTTGTTTTTCCAGCTGATAAAGTTGGCACAGTCGCGGATTTCAGTGTCGCGCGCTAACCAAGTTAACGTGCACCCATTAACAAATATAACTCATAGGTGGATCTGGGGAAAAAAGCGAACTTTAAGGATGAGTGCCGATAAATAAATATATGCTATAAATATAGCTTCAATTTCATTTAATCTGATTTGATTAAGATATTTGTATCTTTATGAAATAATACAAGTTTGGTATAATTACAATTTAAGAACAATTAAAAAAATTCTTTCTCGAGAAAATTATTATTTCTATTTATACTTTTAACAACTTTAAAGCTTCAGTGCATTAGGTAACATATTAGGAAAAAGCTGTCTTCATATTTTCTTATTGAATTCTTGATATTGGTGATACATCCTTAAATGGTTCATTATTGCTCAATTCCCAGTCACTGCTGATGGAATTTTCCCGTAATTCTCTACCTTAAGCTCGATTTCTGACATTATCAGATATAAACGAGCTCTTAAATCCCCCCTCATCTAATCATAAAGCACCTGCATTGCGCAAATCCAGTGAAGCACCGCAAAGATCCACATCCGGTGGGCCAGTCTGCACTTCCTGCAATCGCCGCAAAAGACAACAAATGAGCCGGGGCTCTTGTTACTCTACGCATGATGAAAAACCTGTCGGATAATGAATCGAGATAATCGATAAAGTGTGCCTGGTTACAGGGGAAGTCCATTAAAGTGACCGTTCCAGCCTGGCGCCTCTTTTACTTATGGCCAGCTATCAAGTTTCCCTTTTTTCTCGTTTTTCCCCCCAAACGCATTGTTGTTTTTGTTGTTGGCATTTTGCAATTGGAGCTCGGTCGGATGAGGGATTACAAAATTTCAAATTCATGCAACAAAGACTGTCTCCGGTGCAGGCCTATTTTCAATTTCCGCAGGCGATGTTGCCTGACCATTTTCATAAGCGCCACCCGATTTTCCTCCCTTCCCATCTCCCCATGCTTTTCCATGGTTTACCATAGCTTTTCATTTGGGCTAGTGGGTGACAATTTTGTGTTGGCAACGCAGCGGCGGCGGCTGAAAAGTGAATGCTGCACTGCAGCTCCAATTTATGTGTACTCATATCTGTGCCTCGGAGGAAGGTCATTTGTAACCTTAACTAAACAAATTTGAAAGCTCTGTCCGGCATATCGGGTGTGGTCAGGTTCTTCTACCGATCTGCTGATGGCCCTTTTTCCGGCCGGTGTTATAAAATGGCCAGTGGGCCTGGCAGGTGGCATCAGTTCGCCACGAGTTCGCCATCGGCAGCAAGCAGCAGTAGCCAACAATTCGAATAGCCAGCAAACGAACAACCAACTAGTCGAATACTTAACGTCAGCAGCCATGAAACGGGTAAGTTTTCCATCAACCGCTGCCGGCCATAAATCCTCGGAGCTCCCTTGTTGTTCTGCCGCCATGTAAATCCGGCAAAGTGGAAGTGGGGCCATAAATCAGGATAATCAAAAATACAAAACGATAAAGGACTAAGCGTATTAGGCCAATTTAAGTGCCAAAGGGAACCGGCATAAGCCAAATGGAAATCAACAAAGTTTAGCTTGAGTGAGGAAGGTTAAACATCCTTAAAAGTTGGTAAAGAAATTAATGAAGGTGTAAACCAGCAATCAGCATTTGAATTCAAAACATTCAATTTATGAAAAACATTTACCAAAGATTTTTAAACTTATTTCTGTACCTTTAAAGACTTATCTTAAAATAACAAATTGCAAAAATACCAATATTTAACTAGCTTTTTCTTTCATTTAAAGTCTCAAATCAATTTCAAAATGAAGTACAGACTTGAATACTGATTTTTACAACTCTATTATACTTTTTTGGCTTAAAGAGTGAACATATTTTCCAAGAGTACCAGAGTACTTTGTAGTATTATTCCCGTCATCTAAGCTTGTTCTCTTTTCAAGCCTGACAGCCAATAGAGTCCGACAAACCAACAAATAAATCCGCACAACTTTCTGTGCAGGAACATGAATGGTTCGATGTCGTTTTTAATTTATGGCCCTTTGCAACTAACAAGTAAAAAGGAAAAACCATTGTGGGATGACAAATTGATGAGGCCAGCGGGTGATTTATAACGGACAGCCATTTAATTCGCATCCTGTGTGAATCCCTCTCTGGTTTGGTTTCAGACATACTTGTTGCTCTGCCTGAGCCTGCTGACCTGCAACTTGGCCAATTCGGCCTTCTTGCGGCCAATTGATCTTAGCCAGCTGACCAAGTCCTCCGGAATCCAGCAGCAGCAGCAATTGCGAGGGGATCTCAACCGGGATGATAATGACAGGGATGACGAGGACGCCACCACTTTGGCCCCCAGTTCCAGTGAGGATTACGACACCCGCCCGCAGTACAGTTTCGCCTACGATGTGCGGGACTCCCTAACTGGCGATGATAAGCGGCAGGAGGAGAAGCGGGATGGCGATTTGGTCAAGGGTCAGTACTCCCTCATCGAACCCGATGGCACCCGTCGAATTGTGGAGTATACAGCGGATGATGCCAGTGGCTTTAATGCCATCGTTTCCAAGCAGCGTTTGGACGAGCAGCAGCAGAGACTGAGCAGTGCCTCCACCTCCTCCCGTTTCAACAGCCTCGAGGAGCTCCAGACCAGACTTACTGCCCAAGCCATTGCAGAGGCCCAATCTCTGGCAGAAGCCCAGCAGGCCAGTCAATTGCAGCTGGAGGCCCAGAATCGCAGAGAATCGGAGAACCAGGCACGCAACCAGGCGCAGCAGCTGATGGAGCAGTTCCAACAACAAGTGCAGCAGCAGGAGCAACAGCGTTTGCAGCAGGAGCAGCAACTGAGGGAACTGCAGCGTCTGCAGGAACAGCGGGATCGGGAGGATCGCGAGCTTAGAGAAAGGGAACAGAGGGACAGGGAACAAAGAGAGAGGGAACAAAGGGAGAGGGAACTCAGGGATCGGGAACTGCGGGAACGGGAGCTGCGGGACAGGGAACTGCGAGAGCGAGAGCAACGAGAGCGGGAGCAACGGGAACGGGAACAACGGGATCGGGAGCAACGAGATCGCGAGCAACGAGATCGCGAGGATCGTCGCCAGCAGGCGGAGCGTCGTCAGGGTCAAAACCAACGGCTGATTGATCAGCAGACCCTGCTCCTGGCCCAAAGCCTGCCCAGCATTCAGGCCACCGTGGTGTCGCACCCACCCACCCTGCTCACCTCTCGACTGCCCACCACCACCACCACTTCCTCGAGGACCACCACTCTGCTGACCAGGGAACGCGATCTGGAGGCCTGGCGCCAGCTTCCAAGTGCCAGAATAACCATTGATCGCTCCACCCAACCCTTGATCCTCAGCCAACCTTCAAGTGCAACTGTTCAAGCCCAACTGATCAGTTCTCCTCTTCTCCTGGAGTCGGGAAACCTGAATGGATTGATAACCACCCGGCTGAATGGTAATGCCGCTCGTGCTGGAGCCGCCTTGAGTTGGTCCAATGGACGTCGCCTCCTGAACAACGATATCTGGCAGTTGGAGAGGCTAGATCGGGAGGATCGGGAGGATAACAGCCGACGGGAGAGCGAGGAGCTGCGTTCCAACAGCGGCGAACGGCGATCCAAGAACTGGTAATCCCGAAATTGGGAAACTCCAACCCAAACTTCAACTGAACTCAAGCGAAACTCAACCAGCGACCTCAGCCATCTGCCAACCGGACCACGAATATGCTTAGCCCTTAAGAACTAGATTCAAATATTGTATTTTGTGTGTGTTTCTTAGCCTGTTTTTTAGCCTAGAATCGGGGATTTTGGTAATGACTCTCTGTCAGCTCTCAGCTCTTTTTTGTTTCGACCAGCGCATACAGCAAACTCTGCCAAGAACTTAACTCTAACGCTTTTCTTTCACGCTAACTTTAGCCCTAAGTTTAATTGTCTTTGTGTTACTTTATAGTTAGTCAACTGCATCAATTTGAAAACGTAAAAAAAATAAACCAGACGAAGTCTGCATGCTCTTTGCAAGTGAAGTACACTACGCTTTTTAAACTTAATTTATGGCAACTTCCAATTAAGTGTGGCTAACTTCGCAGCAGATTTGAGAAACGCTCACAGGTGGTCAGGGATTTGGCTTTCTCACTCCTTCTGCCCAACTAACCAAAGTCAGTTGACCCTAATCGCCTTTCATGGACTCTGACACTTCGGTCATGGATGCTGCAGACTCACACATGAGTTTTCCCAACCCCTTTTCCTCCCCCACCCCCTTCTTCATCTTTCCATTTTAGCCTTCATGGACACGTGTGCACGCAACTTGGCCATAAACCCCGGAGCCAAGTTTCTTCAGGGCAGCAAATGGCTACAATTTTTTTAATAATAAACACTCGCAGGAGGACGCTGGGAAAGCGCTGGAAAAGTTTCCTTCTCGTTCCATAAAGTTTGTCTGTCGTACACTTAAAAATAAAATTGCACTTGAGTGCTTGCTTGGGAGAAAAGGTGATGAGTTTGGCCAAGGCTGTTTGGAACGCCGGGGTAATAACAAAGTGGCAAAAGGTAATGAAAACCGGTCAGAGACCACAGAAATTGAACTCCAGTGAAACGAGGTTTGATTAAGAAATTTTTAAAGTGGCAAAGTCATCTTTTATTGTTCTTATGGAGGATTTAGTTCTAGAAAATACCTAAAAGGATTATTCACTGGTGTTAAACAGTAAATTCATCGATCTATTAAAACTAGTTTAGACATACAATAAACTTTTGAAAAAAATGTCAATATGTGCTTCTTTTATTGATCAAACCGAAAAATTAGATTAGAGATTATGATTTATCTTATTCATAGAGATGTTAAATTAAATTCTTAAATTTAGATTTTATGTACGTTAATATTACTTTTTTACCTTTTTGCTACGTTTTATGTTAATGTTTTTTAATTCAAAAACCGTTTGAATTTGCAGAACCTTTAATTTGGGTATTTAAATGCTGTCTTGTCGTTAATTTAACCTTTTAACCTGTCTCAATTTCGCAGCTGTAATCTCGGCAAACTAAATTAAGTTTGAGGCTCCAGTTTAAGTGACATCCAAAGTCATGACGAGCTACTTGCAGCTGTTGTGCAAGGCGCCCGTGAGTCCTTCGGCGGGAAATCACTTAAAAGTTCATCAAAAGCGCAGCTCGACTCCCATAAGCCCTTCGGCTCGACAATGGGCTGACATTGGGAGAAAGGAAAAGCGGGAAAAGGAAAACAAGGGGTGGAAAACTGAAAAACAGTCTGCCTGCGCGGCAAATGTCAAGTCCATGGAATACAAAAAGGAACAACAGAGACACAAAATCCGAGGAGCTCAAAAAACGAAACCAACTAAGCTGGTAAGCGACTCCTCTTGACTTTTGGCCATCACCCGAAAGCTGACTTTCTGTCCAAGGCACAAAATGTTGGGAATGCTGAGGAAAAACGTCAAGAAACTGCAAGTACTTAATTGGCCGCTGACCCATAATCGCGGATTCCCGACATTACTTAAATTTGATATAAAACATGAGGAAGCAAAGTCAGGTGCTGAAGAAATGGAACCGCAGTCCACCATGAAATTACCCTATTTTATAAGCCCGAAGTGTGTTGCAGATCAAAATCAGGTTGTCGAAGAAAATGGAAAAAAGTTCACCTACAACTATCATCCATTTTCCATTTACGACTTGAGTGAAGCCACTCTACGAGCCAAAAAAGCAACCGCCACATACTCAAAAAAAATTAAACAGATTCAAAAGTTGAAGGTTGAATACGTCAAAAAGTAATACAAACATTTACGTAAATGAATATCTGCATAAATAAGAAAAATTAATTGTTATTGAAGCAGTTAAACAAAAGTTATGTGCACAAATAAATTAAACTGTACGTTTTAAACAAAAATAAATTTCAATAAAGTAAAAGAAAAGGTGCACATTTTTTTGGTATTTAAAAAATGTAAAATTTTTAAAATTTTTTTACTTATTTATTAGAAATTACGAAGTAAAAAGATCAATGAATAGAAAATATTTTCTTATAAGTAATTTCACCACAGCTAAAACCGTTTTTAGCCAACCAAAATAACTCACCATTTGGGTTGGCGCCAACACTAAACCAACATAGTATGTTCCCAAACCAAAAACAGTTTTAGCCTCACTGAAACTCAAGCCATGTTCCCTCTTGCCGTTGTTGTTGCCTTGAGTTTCAACTTCAACTTGCAATTTGAATTGTTAATAAATTTGTATCAGAAATTCGCATAAAATCAATCAACACGCAACGGTTTCGTACAACGGGGGCATAACGGAAACGCGAATCGGGAACGGGGTTGCTGCACAATTTCAGGGACAAGTAAATCCACGGAGTACCAAAACAAAACCCCACCTTTATAAAGTTTAAGGGAAGATCCGCATTGAGATCGTAGCACATTGACGCAATTCGAGTTCTGAGCGGGCTGGGAACTGAGAACTTTGCATTGATCTCTGTGAACCGATGGCAAGAGTCATCGCCATCACGTGTACACCGCTTACTAATTAGCACTAGGAAATTCCCCCATTCCAAGAGAGAGTTTTAGATCGAGAGAGCGATGCTACGAACGATCTATTTTGTGATAAAGACCTAGACAATTTCTAGAACTCAGTTTAGATATTACTTAATTGCCAGTTGAAATACGGTTCCCCATTTTGCGTGTGGTTCCCATTTATTAGAACTTATACAAGAAATATGTTCTTCTCAGAATGAAATCACTGATTTTATCGTAATTATATTGACGCAAGTCGGTCTTAGCTTGAAGTCGATTGGCTGCTTTTATGTTTATATTATATGGATCTAATGTTAGTGTTAATCATCTTAGCCAATATTGTATTTCCGTTTTTAATGCAACATTTAAAAAAACATTATTGGCTATTGCTTACCTATTTGCTGTTTATATTAATGATTTATTCTACCTGATTTTGTTATTTAGCTTTAAACTAAAACATAGCTACGCTTTTTATGTAAACTGGATATACATACATATGTACCCTCAATAAAAAAGTATCAATCTTTTTTCAGACGTATTTGAGCTGGGATTGTTTACTTACAAAATAGTTTATGTTATTATAAACATTCAGCTATGATGCTGATAATTAACGATAAGTCAACCCGAAAGTCACTTTTCTCAATAAAAATGATTCTTATTAAACGCTAATCCTTAGGTTATCAAGCAGCTGGTGATGCAAATGAATTATTTTACACTGATTCTCTTCATAGCTTCGAATCCCATTGTAAACTTCTGGACATAATTATCGTACCCTAGGATGAAGGGTATAAAAAGAAGAAAAACCTCTGAGCCGCCAAAAGCTGTTGGGCACACGATGCGCCTCGTTTTGCAGGCATTTAAGCTGAAAATTGCTGCTAAAATATTTGCACACTCCACAAGCTCTGAGCTCCAGTCGCAGCTTATGTTGTTGTTGGCGGTTGGTGATTTTGTTGTTGCTTTTGTTGTTGCTTTTGTAGCTCTTGGCCAGCTGCATTGATGCGTCGCCAAATGTTTACCCTAAGCCCATAACTGCAACCAGCTCGGTATCTGGCCTTCTCGTTCCCACATAGGTGAATGGATACACTGAAAGAAACACACATCACAGACCTTGCTTAAGTTAATTAGATTTATTAACGAAGACATATTTATATTTCGAAGGATTTTGCTGTGCATTTCTAACACTAAGCCTAAAAGTTTTATTTTGTTTTATCAAAATTAGAGAAATTTTAGTTTTAATGATTTACCATAAACAATCAAATTTCTGAATTTATACAATAGTTTTTTTGTGCCAAACATGTTAAGATTTGGTTACATACATTTAATTATATTAGATGTATTATATTAAAAATATCTATAAACTAAGGAATGTACGAGTGATTAATGCGAAACTTTATTTCCCGTATTTTGAACTAACCTTTTTCGCCATTTCTACATATTTTTCCAGGTGTAAGCTATTGCTTTCGGTTGCTCTCACTAGCGATCTTTGCCCGGCATACAAAATGCATCTAATTTTGGGCCTAACGACAACTTGTCGCTTGTCATGGCCTCCTGGCCTGAGCTCCGTTGTCGTGGTTGTTGTTGTTATGGTTGTTGTTGCTATAGTTGCTCATCATCATTTGCAACCGCTGGCAGCAACAGCTGCCTCACTTGGGGATCAACTTGTGGAGATTGCCGCGCTTTATTTGTGCAGCTTTTAGCTGCGCCTCGTAATCGCGGCTCATAGATCAAAACAGGCGAGCGAGACGCGTGCTAGCTGCCTCTCTCTCTGTCTTTCTCCACACAAAAAAAACACAGACCAATTTCGAAATATTAAAACTTGTAAAGAATTTTTCAACTGGCAAGAGTGGTAGAAAAGGTATTTTTGTACTAACTAGAACTATTTTACCAAAGCTTGTAAATTATTTCTAAACCAGTTAAAAAATCACTCAATAAAATATTCTTTTAAGGATAACTGTAATATTCTTAGCTTTTTATAGTTTTCTCTCTGTGTGGCAATTTTGCATAATATGGCCTGGAACTTCTTTTGTTTATGTGAACCAAGTCCAGTTCTCATCACGTTGAGATCAAAGAAGCGGGAAAGAGAGGGGCGAATTCCAACGCACAGCTGCTGTCTCTGTCGCCCACCCACGCCAAAAAGTTTTCCCACTGACCGAAATGACAAGAACGGCAATTCCCACAGTCGGCATTTTCCATTTTCCAGCCAGATTCCGATTCCGGCACACTCAAATTAGCCATCTCATTTTCGCTCTGATTAAAGGTAATTTTCAAATTTTCCCAACAACCCTGCGACAACAGCAACAACAACATGCAATCAGTGATGGTCAGGATCTACATAGGTACAAATATGGGTACAGTTTTTATATATATTTATCTGATTTGATAATATTTCTATAGCTCATAAATCTTTTGCTATCTTTTTTAATTGCTTTAAATTTAATCTAATTAACTTAGGAGTAAACACGATACCGAACAATTTTATTTAAGTTCATAAGATATTTAGAACCTAATAAAAAGAAGTTTACATTTTTATAGTCATTTTTATTCAACCTACAGGCATTTTAAAACATATGTTAGCTTAATCACAACTCCAAACGATAGTAGTTAAAATTGTAAAACGGCTTTTAAAACGCAGTACATGTGAGTACAAATTGAGTTGAGATTTTATAACTATTTAAAAGCCTGAGGATAATTTTTTAACCTCAGAGTGAATGTGTGATTTAAATGATTATATTGACAAAAATAGTAGTAATATCTTCGCATACCATTCATACATCTTGATTTTTTATTTTAAAGGCTGAACAATGTAATTTTTAAAATTGGGTATAGTCAACACTGCTTTTATATTCTAAAATTGCGTTTTATTTTCTTGGGCCTTTAAAGCTGGTCTATAAGTTACCTGTTTGGTAGACATGGTTGTAATGTACCTGGTACCTAGATAAGAAAAAAGGTTTACCCAACTCTTTTAAAAACAAATCACGGCTACAACAGCAGGCGGCAACTTTGGCACTGCAATTTCGATTTCGCCTGTCGTCCATTTAATGATTGCGAATCGGAGCAGGCCCAACAACTTCCCCACTTCCTCCCTTTCCCAGCCAAGTTTTCTTGACCATTTTCTGCAGCTGTGGCCACGGGAAAATAAAGGAGAAGAAAATTGCCGAAACTAAAACCAGAACGCGTGCGCATTGAATTATGCAGAAATTTAAACCATTTGCCGCCAATCAATTTGTTTTCCATGCCAGCTGGCGGGATTTTCTTCCCTAACAACCACAGCAGAACAATGGAATGCAGATTATATTAACAATATCATTATTTTTTACAAGAAATATGTAAAACTTGGATAAAGCTCGTTAGCAACATTGTGTTTGGTGAAAGAAATGGAAGCAGTCCTGCCTATTGCAAATATATTTATTATTTTTTGATTCTTATGCGAGGCTGGGCAAATAAACAATTCACTTGATCTATAAATTTAAATAATATTAGTACATCCAAACCTAAGTAATTATTATCAACCTCATTTACCTTATTAGTCACGTATGTGGTACAATTTATTATATTATATTTATCCTTTGTTTGTTTACTCAATTTTATTAGTCAATCAAATTACTGAGTTAGTGTGAAAGTCCTTTAGCTTGTTTTAATTGTTATGAAACATATTCTTAGATTATATATTATTTTTAATTAAATGTAGACAACATGAGAAGTTAATTAATATGTGTAATAATTTATTATATTATTTTGCAAGTATGTAAATCATAAACTGGTTTTAGATAAACGAAGTATAAAAAAAAATTTTCGTAAAATTTAAATGATTTCGGTATGGTTTTCGTTTTTGTTTGCTTAAAACCAGTTAACTTTTTAAACCCTCTTCAAAGCTGCAGAAATGTAAGTTCAACAAATAGTTTAAAAGCTTTTCTTGCATTACTAAATGTATTAATCAAATATTCCTAGAATTTGAAATATTACTTTTTAATCTTAAGCGAATAATTCCACCGACATATCGTGATCATTAATTCTCGGAATTCCTTTTCGTCCGATGATCAAAGAAAAGCCGATTCGGCGCACCAGACTTAATTAAGTACAAATTTCAATTGTTGCTCCGCCTGGGACTTATCAACGCGAAAGGTGTCTCATAAATACATATATGTGCGGCTGGCTGGCGAACAGGAAGCATCATCATTATAAGCCCCCCTTTTTCCAGCTCAAAAGTGCTCAAGCGGAACTTGGCCAGAAGGCAGAAAAAGAGTTCTGTGCCGGAATTTATTTGATTCTTGCTCGACGGACTGCAGAAATTTCAGCAAACCTGCAAAATTTATGCATGACAAAATCATTCAAGCGTTTAGCGAGTGAAAGAGAGAGAGGGCGAGGAAGGGGAGGGATGCCGGGAAGAAAGAGACGGATAGCCCTTACCTAAGGGAACTCTCTCACACTTGAAGAACCCCTCCATTGTAATGTGTTGTAATTTGTTGTTGTTGTTGCTGCTGTTGTTAGTGCTTCCTCTTTGGCATACTTAGTGCTAAAAGAAAAAAAAGTTAATTATCTTTTTTTACCTCTCATTCTTTCTGTCTCGCTCCCGCTTTTTTTTAGTATTTTTTATCTGTATGTGAGTCTGTTGTTTTTTTTTGTGATGGCATGCCCAACAGCTCCATTGGGCTATTATCCATGGGTTTTGTGCTATTCTCCGGGAGATTGGTACTTTGTGTGTTCGTTTCTTCTGTCTTCCATCCGCTGGGCTGGAACTTCAAGGGACTGCCAAGAGTCGCCGGCCCGGTTCATTGAACTGTTAATTGTGGGCAAAAAAAAAAAAAAAAGTGGGAGAGAACCGGGAACTCTAGGCGGTGTGAAAGGTGATTTTTCAAGGCTGCCTTTATGTCCGGCCCCGTAAACTCTCCATTGCTTCTCGATTCGCTTCACTCACTTCTCTTTCCCCCGGTTTTTTTTTCACATTTTTCGAAAGGTTTTCTCCCTCCGCTGTAGATTTGGAATTTATGAATTAGATTGTTTTTCTGGGGTTTTGGGATCGAGGTGCTAATGACTCCGCTCTAATTTTTAATTTCCGACACACGCAAAACCGATTTAATGCAGTTCACATTATCACATTCTTAGCTTTTGATTTGATGTCTTATTCCCGCACCATAGATGCCACTAAGAGATCACGGGTTGTATAGAAATTACCCCGTGAATTCTTCCAGTGCCATTAACTGTGCCGAGATGGAGTGACTTGTCAAGATTATATATCTTGCTCTTTGGTTTCACTATAATTTTCTTTGGTACTCACATAAATTCTGTAGACTGTCCTGTGTGAATCCATATTCATGCTTTGGAATCCTAGAAATAAAAACCATTAATATGAGAGGTAATGAAGCAGATATAAAAATATCTAATTCTACTTTAAAGTACTGAATATAAAAACCATAAATATAAGAGGTAAGACATAGAAATAAAAATACGACGGCACACAATCTTCACCTTTAATCCGGCGCAACTTCCGTCTTTCTGGGAATCTAAAATCTGTTTCTCCCATAGAAAGGGTTAAAACCTGAGCACCTCGGTGATTCTGTCCCACGTTGGTTAACTCGTTGCCCCCAGCCAGTTCACCTGCTTGGCCAACTGCGGTTGATAAGGTGGCTTTGATCTATCCCACGATTTAATCAAAAACGCAAATTTCGTTTGCTTCTCTTCTTCTTCTGCGGCGGGCTAAATCGCGGAAGTCGCTTCTGCGCTATAGACATGAATATATATATATATATATTTGGCTGGCCCCCTTCAGTTTTTATTCATTGGGGGCATGCGTGGGAAATCCATGTTGCATGTTCAACGGATCCAACTGCGGTTGGCCGCATAATTTGCTGTGAAAATCATTTTGCGGCTGCGTGTTGCATAAAATTACAATTGAAATTTTTTCACTTCTTCTACACGGCATTTTCCTCCTTGTTTGCGGCGGGCATGGCCAATTAAAAATTATAATGGTGGCTAAACTAATTAGGTAGCGAGAGATTAAGAGCATTTCCACGCTCTACTTCAGAATTGCTAAGAGGAGGTATATATTATAATATTAATATGCTGAGAAAGATATGAACCTTCAGGTAAGTGAGAGATTTATACTGAATTTATATGCATTTTCATGTAAGATTTCCCTTCATATATTAATTTATATTTGGTAATCGAGAAACCAAGTTGAAAAGGAAGCAGATTTAGATAATAACCCCTGAGGGCGAGTAACCCCAAATTGACTTGTCGTTGGCCAAACAAATTGTAACGTCCAATTGCTCTGGACATCTGTGACCCCTGGGACCCTCATTATGGGGGCACTCTCGACTGGGACTGGGACTCCGCTCGGATCGCTGGGAAAACGTCGCCAGTCACGAAGAAAGCTCCGATTTCATTGCCCGTCTCGTTTCGTTTCATTTGGCTTAGCTTTTTTCCAACGTTTTTACGGGGTTTTTTTCTTTTTGTTTTAGGCCAATTTATGCAAATGCCAAATGCTGCTCCACTTGAGGTAATTGCCACTCGTTTTTTCGGCTCTCGACTTTTTTGTTTTTGGTCGGCCGCTTATCAGGCAACGGTAAATCAGTACGTCAGTGGCATAGACATGCCGCGCATGCGCCGTGAGGCGACAGCCATCAATCAAATCGAGTGGCCCGCAATCAAAATACGAGAAACAAACTCGAAGCGAAACAGTTAAAAATCAACAGCAGCTGCCTGTGTTTCCAATTTTCCTCATGCCTCTTATTTTTTTTATTTATTTATTTGTCTTTTTTTTTGTGTTTGTTTTGTGGGCAATCGCGTGTGTCTTTGTGGCCGATCTCAAACATGATTTTTAACGACAAATTTACGCGCTTAATCTCGACAACAAAATATGCAAATGTGAGCGGGACGCGGCCAAAAGGAGCGGCTTGATAATAAAAAAAAAAACCAGAGGACGAACTTGGTGTTGGCCTTTACGACTCGCCGTGTTCATTAGCGCCAACACTTGAGTGGCAACGACGGCCAGCAAGAGTCTTTAGTGCTTTAAGTGCGTTCCATTAATTGAAATGGTCAATTTGTTGCCAGCGATAAGAGAGGAAGTTGCAGAGAAATAAAAGGAAAAAGAAGCTGTTCATCGCAGATTGCGATACTGTTGGCTGCAGTCGCAGATTTTATTGCATTGATATTGCCACAACGATTTCGAGTTCTGTGCTCTGAGCTCTGATCGACTGGGGGATCAAGTTGCCCTAGATGGCCAGCCATCCGGAGGAGTTTGATAGTTCTGCTGTTCCCGGTGGCGCCACCAGACTCCATTCATCAGCCAGCTGCGACAGCAGGCCATCGCGAGACTTTGCCACATGCATATTTATGGAGTGCCAGCAAGACGAATAGGTGCCACTCTACTTGCTAATAAAACTCATAACTCACAATAAATATTAAGTGCAATATTTCCATATTTCAATAATAACGGTTGTAAAATAATCTGCATCATGCGAATATTCATAGGTCCAATAAAAATATTTTATGATCTGTAGTTAAGAAACAGCTTATAAAATACCACTCCATATGAACATATTTATGTTATATAGTATGTATATAATCAGCAATCATTATTTATGTATATCAGTAAGAACATTATACGTTTATTCTTATTGAAATTCCGAAAACAATTTGGTAATCAAACTGGAAGCTATTTATTTTTACAGCTTTATTTTAGTATCAATTACGGATTGAAATATGACAACAATTTACGATATAGTGTCATAAGCTTACCAATTTGTTATCGTCTTTAAACCTCCTGCTGAACCAGTATTTCGAAGTTTAGATCAAGTTGAGGCTGTCAAAACAGTTTCAAGAGCAATTAATTTTGGTCAAAACCAAAGGCAAGCACAATGGCCAAATCACTGGGGCAGCAGATACAATCGAACTGAAATGGGTAATGCGACTCCCGCTTCCGTTAAAGCCACGTTACGAATCCCGTCGGCAAACGGAGGTAACCCTCGACAGAGCTTGTGACCCACTTGCGGAGACCACAAGTCATGGTCATGGCGACAAAACCTCTCCCAACGGTAAGCGGTCAACGGAAACCCCTTCCCCGCCCCCTTTCCCCCTTTCGCCAGCCGCCCCTTTTGGCCGTGGCTCTAACTGTTTATCTAGCGGATTGATTTTACTCTCCACGCGCAGATCTTTGGGAAATACTGCCAGTCAAACTCTTTCCTCCCACTTTTCTTTTCTTACGTTACTCCAAACAAAAAAAAAAAACAGACAGATAGACAGAAAATAAATGTATCTTTGGGATCTCCGGTTGTTCTAATTGTCCAAGATGACAATGCAGATTGGGAAGGGTAACGGTAACGGCACGCACACTGGATGCTCGCTCCAATCCAACCAGAACGAGACAGTCCGAACCGAGTCCAACTGGAAACCAATTGGCATTTCAATCACGCATCAATCTGGCACGTTTTTATGATGCAGATCACAAGGCGAAGCGAACGGGGCTAAAACAGCAACATTGGCCACATCATGATCATGTTTCTGGCTTTTATTTATTTTTCTTTTTTTCCTTAAGCTTTTTTCCTTACGTTACGAGGAAGACGAGCTGCAGCGCTCCTTTTTCAAAAAAAAAAAAAGAAATATGAAATTTTTATTGGTCGGTTAAGTTTTCGTTACATTTCGTGGATTGTTATAAATTTCATTGATAATTGCCATATATTGATGGCATGATTGTCTGATTGTTGCCGTTTCGTTTGCTTTGGTTTTGGCTTCTACGTGCGTGGCATACACTTTTATGCACTGCAAAAATTTCGTTTCTCATTTGCTGCTGATCTTTCCCCTCTCGGAGTTTCGTGCTCCGTAAAATTGTTTTCGACGAACAACGAAATTGTTGCACGAACCCGAAACGCAGGAGGCGGAGATATCAATATGGGGAATATGTAACGAGGATATCTGTATGCTCTTGCCACAAGCATTCCTTTGAATGTACGAAGGTATGTACATGTCGGTTCTTATTAGCCATATATAGGTCAGCAGCAGCCTCCGTTGCATGCCCCTTGATTGAGTTGCAAGATGTGAATTTCATCTGGCGGGTAATTCGCATTTTTATGATAAAATTAAGTCGGCTCTTGCAATTGCTGGGCCGCAAGTTGCAACTGCCGCACTAAATCTGCCATTCGATGTGGCAACTTTTCCATTTGATTTGCGAAATAAATCCTACATTTGCATTGGCATTTCTTCTCCTTTTACTCGACCATAAGCCAATAAAACACTGAACATTTCACTTCGCCATCGACTGGGCTTTTGGCCTTTTCTGTTTGCCAAATCCAAGGTTCCCATGCCTCTCCATTTCTTGTTAATCATTCTGTCTATCTTTCTGTGTCTGTTTGCCTCATAAATTCCGCTGCTGCTGATGCTGCAAAAAGAAAAAACTCCCATAGGGAGCAACTGTCAGGGGACAATGTTTGGAAAGTCGAGCTCCACAAAACTGGCCTCCGAAAATGGCTTAATAGTTAAATTTAATGCTCGGCCATAACTAAAAGCTCAGGCTCAAGACAAACTGCCGTTCAATATGCAAATGTGGCCAAAACGGAGAGCGGCAGTGGCTGCATCCGATTGGGATCCTCTGTTACCCCCTTTCGATTTTCCCCCACTTCGTTGGTTAAACAAGTCTCGTGTGCAGGTTCTTATCAGCCGACTGAGCCTGGCCTATCAAAAATAATTGACAACTAAATGGCCCATAGAAAAGTCAGCGGATGGCGTGAAAAAGAGGCATTCAATGAGGACGAGAAAATTGTCATTTGACAAAATCGTTAGCCCTGATAAGATACCACTCAACTCGGCTTTTTGTGTGGGTCTTTCTACGCTTTTTTCCTTTCTTGTTTTTTTTTTTTTTTATTTTAGTTGGTTACCTTTCTGTGTGGGTTGCGCTGCTCTCCCTGATTTGGACATAAGTGCTCGTTGCTGGGTGCTCGAATCTGGCTTACTCGACTTGAGGTTCGTCGAGTTCGTTGCCTGAGTCTTTTGTTTCGACGCATTTCGTTTTTCGTATTTCGTATTTCGTATTTCGTGTGCGCCGGGCCGTGATTCATTGACCAGGCTGAGAGAGTCGACTGGCACGACCACCGCAATTACATCCGGTAATTTAATGTAATTTTATATTTCATTTCAATCGCATGCGAGATACGGCGACTAAAAATAAAGGCAAACCTGATTCAACCTGATTCAACTCGCCCCTTGCCAGATTTTGTCAACATTCTCGACCAACGTGATTTTGTGAACTGGCATTAGCATTTAACTAATGGCCCAGACGTGCATCATCGGTTGATAAGACCTGATTTTTGAGGCTCTAACTAACTAACTGAACTCAACAGACCTTTTGAAGGCTTTTTTGGCGGCGGATTCGTTTGATAGCCCATGATTGATTACTCAATTTTCCTGTCAATCTGCCCGGCAACTCACAAATTTGTCAACACACTCAAGTTGGCTTACTTGGCTAGAAACACCAGCCACCAGTTGGTGGGATCTCGACCCTCGGAATCTTGGCTTATGATTGATTACAGTTCCAGGAAGTCGGAATGCCTAGACAATGCAAGCAAGAGGCCGAAAAAATATTTCATTAATTAGAATTTCGTTTGTTGGACCATTAACTGAGCCGAGATTAATAAGCGGCAATTAACCAAAGGAAAAATCCAAGCAAAACAACAAAAGAGCGGTCTCGAAAACCCCTTAAAAAAAATTTAAACTGTTAGAAAGAGGCGTTGCGCAACGGTTTAAAAACGCATTTGTGGCTATCTTTCGGTTTTGGCTTGCTGTTTTTTTTTTCGATTTTTTGGCTTGCTTTAATTATGCGCGGAGTTATTTCAGTTTTTCTCTACACTTTGATAAATTAGTCGCCGTCGTCGTCGAGTCTAAAGGTCATCACAGGTCGGGGTCTTTTTTGAGGGCTTTCGGTCTTGTGTCGTGTGGCTAATTAAGCCCCAGTTTAGTCCAAGTATCAACTTACCCGAACAGGAAGCGCTCACCGGTCATCCTTGGCCATTTCCAGTTCTAGCCAGCCGCTCGCCTCCCAACTGATTGACAAGACGAGTCCAAATTGTAACCGAGTCCATGGCATTTGTCTGCAAAGAGGCCGAGAGAATGGTAATTGACATAAGTATCAATGGATACAAGGCGAGGGTAGCTAGGTAAGTACTTGAAGTTTAACTAGTATGATATATTAACTTAATTTAAGTATTAATATAAAAAGAAATATCTATTGGGTTAAATGTAAAACCAGTAAAATAATTCATACCAATATAGATCATTACCAAAACAATATTAATATGAAATACCACTTAAATCCATTTTTATATAATAAAACAAGTTTTACTGCATATAATACAATATTTCTCACACAACCCTCGCATCCTATCCGCTTACAACCTACAGCTCATATAACGACAGGAAGCAGGAGCAACAAAAACTTGACTCAATAACTTGCATCAGTTGCATTACCCCTTTTTGCCCCACAGACCATAAGCGTAGCTCAAAAACTCTCCACAGGGATTGGGTCTCCACTAACTGCCTGCTTAACTGGAACTAAAAAGTAGTTAATTGGATAAAGAACTCCGACTATGCTTGTACAAAATAATATAGGATGTATAGATTTTATATTTATTAATTAGAAACTCATTAATTAAAAAATATCAAAAATAAATCCATGAAATTTAATTAAGTTCTTAACTTCTTCGACAATAGAAATTCTATGCTAAAAAGGTTTCTCTATAATAGTTCCTTAGGCTTATTAGTTTGAAGCAGTTCTATTTTTCGTATTCGTTATATCACACCACTTGAATATTAATTTATATATATATCTAAATAACAACCTATTTTCCAGTGCATATCTTGTAGGGAGGTGCAATTGACAATTGCTCTGCTACACTTCGCCTGGTTTGTCCACTGGAATGCAGTTGGCTTTCAGTTTTCAGTTAGCTGCTTGCAGCTGCGAAGTTGTGGCAGCCACATGGCAGTAATGAAATGTCTGGCATTTCGTCCGGATCAACCAGCTCCCAACTACCAACTTCCAAACACCCAACAGCCAACTTCCAGCAGCCAACTCCCAAGTTTCAACTGGTAATTCCCAAGTGGCGGTAGGTAAGTAAGTTGGCCACTCATTAAGTGCCATCTCCATGTCGCCAAAGGCGCCGCAATGCAAATGATAAACTGACAGCCTTATGACAGCATTAAGCAAATTGCTCATCGCTCGCCAGACGATCACCAGACATTTCGCCGAGATGCAGATGCAAATGGAGATGCAGATTCAGATGGAGATGGAGATGCAAGGCTGAATGGACTTAACGATTGGCTTAATAAAATGAAATATTAAATGCGATTAAAAACGCGACGACGACGACGACAACGAGCAGGAGCCACAAAACGAGAGCAAGGCGACGATGCAATAAATATATTGGAACAGGCCGGACAGCTACTGGGATACACCAGCAATCCAGCAATCCAGCAATCCACCGATTCCCCCTATACCACCATACTCGTATATATCCCCCACTTTTAACCAGCGATCCCCGACTCCAATTGGACATGATAAAAATGTGAAATGCATGCGTTCATTAAATTAATGCGCATGGGGCATGTGGAGCCGGGCAGATAATTAAATGCGTGTTTGTGGCATGGGCGCTGGGCATCGAGGTGCCCGTAATGACATTAAATATGTTTAAACATGCATAAATAAAACCAACGCGATGGGATGAGTCTCCCCCTTCATTGGACTTGCGGAACAACTTTACTTTGGCCTGATGTTTTAATCAGGGCGATTCTTAGCATAGAGAGCGCCTCGAACCTGACCCAATGGGCAGGCTTAGCTTGTTGCAACAACTGGTTAAATTAATGACGCAACATGAGCCGGGGAGACGGGGCAGCAGTTCTTACACACCGAATGCTGCTGCCTCGCCGAGATTTACGACGATTCAAATTGCCGGGCGATAAATTGTAAAGTTAATCGCTTGTCAAAGTTTTCGCGGTCGCATTTATCTTCGACTTCTGGCCGGTAGCAGCTGCATCGGAGGCATTAGATACCAGATAGAAGATAAAGATATGCCCGCGATTTATGTTCTACCCATGGAGCCGTATCAATGTTTAGGGTTATACACACTGCACTCTAGTAATTTGTTTTGACTACGAGCACATGAAGAACTAACAAACTTTGGCAAACCAAAGAGTTGTTAACTCGAAGTAAATGATAGTTATATTTTTTACGGGGTTATTAAGTTATGCGATATGCTGGTAATTCTGACAGTTTTAATTATTAATTTACAAAAGATTTTTGACAAGGCAGCTGTTTGGTTTGAATATCTAAAGAAACTAATAACACAAGATATGGGAGATAAAAATGTGGTGGCATTTTGGGGTTATACACATTGCACTTTAACAATTTGTTTTGGGTACACTATATTAAACCAAAGAACTACTAGCTCGAAATCAATAATTATTAATGGGTTATTAATTTATAGAAGTATGACTAATTTACTAAAAATATTTGGCAGAGCAACCGCTCACTTCAATTATGACAAAAATGTAATGTGGCTTTAATTACTTTTCTGTATAATAGACACATATTATTTCATTGAGTTCAAGGCTGATTAAACATTTATATTAACTTAGTTTCTCTATGTATTAAAGTAAAAAGTTAACAGCTTTTAAAGTACAACAAACCATTTCCCAGAAAAGTAGAACCGATTGACTCATCCGATTGCAATTTACTCGCTGATAAGACAGACTTGTGCAACTAACCGCGGCCTCAACTTCAACTCGGGCTGTCTTATCGGAGAAGTCGGAGTAATTACAGTTGTCGACTGCTACCGTTCCCGCTGATGGCCAATATTGTTACCTGTTTCTCTGGGCCCGCTCGATTGAGTCAGCGGAGCGCGACAACAATTGTCCATTTCATGAATTGAAAGCGCCGCAGTTGACTCGAGTTGTTCGCTGTTTGTCCATTGTTTGGATTTCCTTTGGGTGGTTTTCAATCGCGGAGCGGCGGGGTTGGGGGAGGGGGGTTGGAAATTGGTTTGGAAAATGTCATTCAAGTTGCCAGGCAAGTTGACAAATTTGTCAACTGATATGGAAGCGCACTGGCCGAACAACAGCCTCAATTCGAGTGGCTAAGCCAGTGTAAACATGTGTAGATTTATGGGTTAAGCTCGGTGATTGTTGTGCCAGCGGCTTTTGTTGGGTCTGCTGTTTTTCTTAAATGTTTTTCGTGTTTCTTGTCTTGCCCTGTTTGCATATGCATGAAAAAAGCGGCTCAATTTTGGTGGGGAGAGCGTGAAGTGCGTGAGTCACGAGTATCGAATTTTGGGCTAGGAAGTAAAGTAAAGAAAAGTATTGCCAGTGAACTGATTTTTGATTAGTCATTAGCATAACAACTTTACAGAAATACCTAAAACTGCTTAGGTACATAAAAGATATGACATATTTAAAAACAAAATCAATACATGATTCTTAAATCAAACAAATATGTTTTACTTAGAACAATCAATATTGGCTTTTAAGGATAAATTGTGTGTATATCATGGCTTTGGATTTTACCTATATAATTTCTGATTGAAATTTATTTTAGCTATACTCTTACTAATAGGTTCCCATTAATATTTATTTGCCTCGTTATCTTACTCCCCACTTTGTTCCCTTGGAAAACCTCATGTTTATTTGCGGTTTAGTTGAATTTATATAGCTCTGTTCGGCTGTGGGTCTATGGGGCATATCTTTATCTGTGCTACGTCTCAAGTTCAGTTCACACGCTTTCACTGGCCGGAGTGTCAATTTGAATTTTATGCCCCGCAACGCTTGATAGATAAGGCCAAAGCATCGAGCTCACATGCATAATTAGCAGGTTCGCCGGCGGGAACTGGAACTCGAGCTCCGAAGTTCGGCTTATCCAGTATCTGCTATATAAAAGTATAGCAGTGGGGTATAGCTATTGGATACTGGGTTATCTGGGGACCGCGTGGCTTCCGTGAAAAGGCCGCTTATTCGATTTGATGGCGGCATGCCCAACAAATTGCCGCTAATGAGCCGCACCAATGTTGCCCCCGTTTAATTAAAACCATAAACAGCCTCGGGTTGACTTACCTTCCAGTCGGCGGGGAGCTCTGAATTTCTGTAATTCTGTGCACTCCGGCATCGCGGTTCCGCTGAAAGGACTCCTGGGAATCGGAATCGGAATCGAACTTGGAATCGGACTCGGTATCGAAGTTGGAGTCGCAGTCGCTCTGCTGCCTTTGATGATGTTGTTATGGAGTGCCAGGAATTTCACTGCAAAGGAAATGCATTTTTTGTTTGATTAGGGTGTGTAATTAATAATGGTTACTAAATTATAGTTAAGCAATGTTTCATCACTAGAAAAAAACTAACAAAAAGAACTTTTAAATTGTTGGGGTACCTTATTAATAAATAATAATAATTTAGGTGCTTTCGGATAACATTTTTGCATTACAAACGATTGTTGAAAGTGTGTTTGCAAATTACAAAGATAAATATTCCTCTACTTATGAAATTATAAGGCAACCTTCCTATAAAATAAATCTACAAAATGTATTTCCCCCTTCACTTTAACTTATCAATCATGACCAGCAAAAATAATGAAATACCTATCCCACGAAACTGCAAATTTATTTCCTCTTTATCAACTTGACGCCCGGGGAGTTGCCAAATATTATATTATATTTGCCCACTAAATCTTATCGAACGCCAATGGCCGGCAACAAATTTGCGTTGCATTTGCCGCAGGTTCAAATAAATGTCACTTCCCGGCAAAATGCCAAAGGCAATCCCAGCAGGGGCTTGTCAACAGCTTTTTGCTTTCGGCCGTGGCAACTGGAAAACTGGCAACTGGCAACTGGCAACAGCCAACAATGAGTCGTAAATCAAGGAAAGGTGTTTTTTCGCCTTTTTCCCCATGAAGTTCTAGGCGGGCGGCTGGCTGGCTCATAAAACATTGAGAATTATGATTTAACGCAAATTTTTGTAATTAATCTTGACAAATAAAGCGGCCTGCGGGCGAGCAGTCGCCAAGTTGTTGCTTGCTGGTTGCTGGTTGTTCGATGTTGGTTGCAAGTGGCAAGTGGCATCTTCATCTTGTGGATGCTTGGCTCCTTTTCGGCCGCCTGGGCATAAATCTTTTCTCCACTTCTAGTCGGGTCTGGAGTGAAGTTTTTGAATCTCGGATCGCTGGGGATCGCTGGCGTTGGCTTGCAGCCTCTCGTCCGCGCATCGTCATCATCATCATCATTATCCTTCATTACGGCCCAGAGAAGAACCGGTTCTCTGGCTGTTTCTTTTTTGAGTTTGCAAAAATATTTCATAATTGTGCCAAGCTATGCAGTTTTTCTTTCCTTGCCTTCTTGTTTTTTTTGTTTTTTTGGTAAAATATGGCCTTTTAAGAGATGCACAAGAATGAGCAAAAAACAGAGAGAGAGAGCGAGGGAGAGTGAGAGAGAGAGAGGAAGAGTGGGGAAGAGAGGGGAATGGTGAGAGTGACCTTTTTGGAGACTTCATCTCGAGCGGGAACTCAACTCAATCTTAATTACATGTTTGCGCTGAGCTCACGACAAGCCCGTTGACGACCAGTAGCAATTATTGCCTGCAACTCAACACTCATCATTCACACACAGAACAACAACAACAATAATAACAACAACTACTACAACATCATCAGAAGTCGAGAAACTATAGTGCCTGGGATGATATACGAGCGTATTGCGTATACGCCACCTGGGACAGACTTTTACCAAAGGCAACTAATTGCGGCAGGGAGGGAAAAAAAAGAACCCGAAGCTGTCATTAAATCGACTGCAACATCATAATCCCTCCTCAAATCACTGCCACTTCCTACTCCCTCTAACCGCCTTTTATTTCAGATTTTTTACTATCTTTTCTTCTAATCAGATTCGTTGGATTTCTGATTTTATGCCTCTTCATGTCGGCTACCATTTTTACTGGATTTTTTTTCATCGATTTTTTTCATGATATTTATGATTTGTTTGTTGGCACGATGCGTCAACTTTGGGCGCGAGCTCTGCTTGATTTTCGTTTCGTTTCTTTATTTTTTGTTTTTTTTTTTTTTTGGCCAGTACTTTTCTTGTTTTGTCAGCAAAGTAAATAAATGAAATAAAAAACGTGACTGTTACGAAAAAGTCGTGTATGTGATTTTTGTTGTGTCTGTTATAGAGTTGATTTTTTTGAATTTTTGTTGTGGTTGTTTTTTTGCCTGCTGCCTCTTTCTGGTTTCAAGTAGTTGACAGTGAGAGAGCTGCCATATAGCCATATAGCCATATAGCCTTATAGCCACATTGTATAGTCATGCGAACAATGCGCACAATTTTCAATGCGTTGGCCAAGCTGCTTGGCACGGTTAGGGCCATTGTCTGTCTGACTGGCTCTAATTTTTTTTTTTTTTTTTTCGTACCCATCTAGCCTTTCTGTATCTGCTAACTGCTATTTTGAGCCGTGTGTCGTGTCGGATTTGTTGAAATTTTTATTAATTACCAAGGCACACCGGCCGTCATCCCGCGTTTTGGCCATTCTGATCTTCATTAGCGACTCAACAAAGCTGATGAGCAGCTTACGGCCCACAGAGCCCTCAAGGTGTGGAAATACAACATAATATATAGATACGTATTCTGGGATATAGCCCAAAACAAAGACAACTCTCGATTCTTACGTGGAGTTACGTGTTGGCTGGCACGATCTTCGCAAGTTAATCGAAACCGAAACGGAACTCGCCGCTCACCGGCGTTCTAATCGCATCGATTTATTCGTCTCGCAAAACGTTTCAGCCATCAGTGTGGCTTTCATGGTTTGGGCCACTTTTATCTAACAGATCTGCCGTTCTCCCAGGCACAATAGTTCAATTTGCTCAGTTTGGTTGGCCAACTTGGAACATTCTCTTTTGTTTTAGTGCACAGCTTAAAGTATTTCACCATTTGATCTTTGCCCCCTGAACTTGGGTTGCTATAAAAGTTTCTGAAATGTTTTTAACTTATTTGTTTATTTATATTTTGATATAAATGAATATATATTTTATAATTAATGTGTTTATTATAAATATTTTGTATTGGGCCGAGAGAAAATACACAATTTCCTTTTATTGTTGTTTAATCAAATTACTCTTCTTAAAAAAGAATTTGTCTAAAATTTAGTATTATTTCTATATTTAATGTAAGACATTATTCATTATTTTTTTTAATTTTTCTGAGATTTATGCATTTATCCCAAAAATGTATTGTAACAAATGTAATACTGTTAATAAGAACCCCTTTAGGTGTTCATAGATCTTCTCGAAACCCCAACCCACTTATCATTGTTTTAAATCCCTTACCATATAAAGTTCCCTTTGATTACCAACCGATTTCTAGGCAAACTCCGGCCACAAGAAACCATTTCACCTCCTCAGAGGGCAATTGTGGGGCTGAAGATCGGCTTCTGCGCGGTGGAGATCGCTGACTCCCCATCGGCGGACCAGTCCGCGAATGGTTACTCCACTGGTTACTCCTCCACAGCCATCCACAGCGATCCATGGCAATGAGGGGGTTCGTTGTTCGGCCCCTCGAAATTTGAGGCCGCCCATGTCCATATTTAGACAGCGCACAACAACCCAGCGATCGCGACTAGCCTGGATTTTGTGGTTTTCGGATCTCTTGCGTGGGTGCAGCCCGAGTTCCTCGCAACAGCAAAAAAAAAAAACAACAGCACACAGAAAACCCAAACAGATGGAAGAAAAAAGGAGAGGAGAGAAAACATAGCAATTTATATTGGCTGGCTTTTAAGGCAGGGCCTTTAAGCCAGGCCAGCAAACCAACCGACCAACCGATCGACCAAAGATCGATCTCCAAGTGAACCTGTGCCTGTGCCTGTGCCCCTCTTCAAAGCCCGATAGTTAATCAATTAACTAACATAATTTCGTGCAAAACTAATTAACTACCTCGGTTGCGGACAAATGTTTGCTGTCAAGAGCGTTTAGTGTCATTCATTTTGCGGCCAAGCGGCGCCCACTTGCCAGCAAACTAGTTTCCACCTCTTACAACGGTCGACTAAAAACCGATGGATGTTCAATGGGCCACGTTACTAAGCCGCCGATTTTAATTTGTTTGCATTTAATAAGTTTTCGTGTACTGCCCGCCCCAATAAAAAAAAAAAAAAAAGCGAGAAACACACTGCAATGAAACTTCCGCTTTTAGGGAGAAATCAAAAATCAATACATAATTCTTTTGACATGCCAATCGCACATTTGTGGCATGCAACCAGCAACAACAACATGTTTGCCCGACTCATTGAGATAAAAATGCAATGTGCCGAGATCCAGGAATCCGGGAATTCGGGGAGGCTGGCAACAAAACGACGACAAGGCAGCCAACACACACGGCACTCGCAGCAAATGTTGCAACTTGCAACCGTTCAGGCTGCACCTTCTGCCGCTCCAGCAACAACTAAACACAAAATACTATATATGAACAAAAAAAAAACCAAAAAGCAAAAACAAAAAACCTGACATCCCAACTTTGAGCCGGGCCAGGGAAAAAGTGAAATCTGCTAGAATTGATCTTGTGGGGAGTCGAAGTCGTCGTCGTTGGCTGTGGTTGCTCTGGCTGCTCCATCGCTCCACTCGACTGGGCACCCAGAAAACTGGTTTGCACAGCTGGCAGGGAAGTTGGCAACTTGGCCCAGCCAGGAACAGTGTCCCGGTGAAGGCCATAAAACCACTGGGGTAAAAGCCAACAGCCCGGGATTGTTAAAAAAATAAATTTTCACCACCATTGAAACCTATTTTATTGACGCTTTTGGAGGGCATAAGGAAGCTAAAATCAACTTGAAATAATTTATTTTTATTAAGTTACTACTTATGGCTTTTTTCTTAAATGTGTGATTTAAAAATAATAACCAAGCTGACTTAAAGAGGTTATAATTGTCAACAGTGCAAAGACCTAAATTCTAAGTGGTTCAATTTAAAAACAAAAACCTTGTTTTATTGTTCTGCTCAATATCTTTGAAAAAAAGACCCCAATATTAGTTTTATGATCACTGTAAAAACAAATATATGTAAGCCCCTTTTCTTCACTTAAATTCCTATACCTTTTCAATTGTTGATCCCCATAATTGTGGGCATAAATCTGTTATAAGATCGTAATATCTGAGCACATTTAGGACCACTGTGGCGTGGCCTTTGCTGTTCTGGCCGAGGTCTCAGTTGCAGGTTCTCAGCCAGGGCCTTTCATTCGCTGTCAGCATCAATTGAGCCAGCTCCACACCGCAGAGCT